CCATCTCACAGACCTGCTGGTCTTTCTGTCTGTCCATGGAGTGGCTTGTTTTGTTTTGTTTGGGGTTTTGTTTTTTTGTTTGTTTGTTTGGTGTTTTGGGGCAGGGTCTCGTGTAGCCTAGCTGAGCCTAGCTTAGAACTTGCTGTGTAGCCAACCCTGGCCTTGAACTCCAGATCCTCCTGTCTCCCAAATGCTGGGATTATAGTCCTGCAACAGCATGCCTGGTGTCCCAACTTGCCCCAGATGGCTGTTTCCACTGTCAATCTACTGACAAACTTCATCTCCTGAGCTCCAGACCCACAGGCCCCACTGCCTGATGACCACCTTTCCTGAGTGTCCCACAGGAACTGGCCACTCAGCATGCCCAAGCTCCTTCTCCTCTCTCCACCCAAGCCTGTTCTTCCGGGATTTCTGACCCAGTGGAGGGTCAATGATTACTCGGTTATACAAGTTCAGTGTCTCGAAGTCCCCTGAACTTGTGTTTTGTCCCACACTCACACCACATGCAACCCAGCACCTGGTCTCTGGGATCTGCCACCTGCAGATCTCAGGTCTGTTTGCCCCTTTCCCGGCTCCTGGCCCCACCCCAGCTCACCGCTTTTTGAAGTTAGTTCTCACTAAGTATCCTAGTGAGATTGGAAATCCTCAGATTGGAAATCCTCCTGCCTGAGCTTTCAGGGCGGACAGCAGGTGGGTGATACCGCTCGCCTTTCCTGCTTGAGAGTTTTAACCTGGGCATCTTCCTGCTTCCTCCTTGGCCACCTCTTTAGCCCCTTGTCCCCCGTCCTGAGGGGAGGCCTTCTAAAGTGAAGTCCTGACCGTGGCTCCTGTCGGCCTCCCTGGCTGACCTTGAGCTGATATCTGTTCCTTCTGTAGGTTTGAGGTTCTTCCTGGTTTGGCCCTCTTCTCTTTCAGCTTCCCATGTTAACATTCTCACCATGTTCCTGCTGTGCTGACCCTGGGTGTAGTACACTTTCTTAGCCAATACCAACATCCATTGAGAAAAGCGCAGTGTGACAAGGTTGAGCGGACAGTGAACACTGGGGCGATGCTGTGCAAATGTGCTCTTTTGTTTGGTTTTCTAGACAGGGTTTCCCTGTGTAGCCCTGGCTATCCTGGAACTCACTCTGTAGACCAGGCTGGCCTCAAACTCACAGAGATCCACCTGCCTCCGTCTCCCCGAGTGCTGGGATTGAAGGTGTGCGCCGCTGCCGCCGCTGCCGCCGCCGCCGCCACCACCACCACCACCAGTTGCAAATATGCTCTTAACAGAGAGGCCAAGAAGAGAGAGTGAAAGTTGAAATCTTGCTGTCAAGAGCTGAGCCTCATTGTGCAGGCCCAGCATCCCAGTAAGACTTGGGAGGTTGAGGAAGGAGGCTTGAAAAGGTCAAGGTTAGCCTGGATCTATAAAGCAAGTTCAAGGCTAACCCGGGCAACTTAGTGAACCCCTATCTCAAAGTAAAAAGTAAAAAGAGGGCTGGGGACGTGGCTGAGTGGTAACTGATTGCCTAGCACTCAAAGGCCTTGCATCATTCCCCAGTGCTGAAAACAAAAACAAAGGAATAAAATCCCCCCCTGTAAAGACTGCCAGGGGGACACCCCATTGACGCAAAAGCCAAAACCCAGAGTGAACATTCATTTCCCCAACAAACAAGACAGTGACTCAAAGGACCTTCCATGAAGTGGAGGCAGTCCCTAAACTCTCCAGTGACCCCCCCACACTTGGGCACACCGCTGACGAAGGCCCAAAGGCTCCGCAGAGTTGCGGCAGCGGAGCAGCGAGAGGCATAGCTGCCCCTTCAGTGAGCACGCCAGGCCGAAACGAAAGCAATGCTTCACTTTACCAACTCAGTACCACTGACTCCGAGCAAACACGTTTCACATTAAAGAAGTCGTCAAGCTGTGCTCTCGGTTTCCGCGCTCTCTTGAACAGCCTCCATCTGCCTTTCGTATGATTGTCTTCCCCATGCCTGGAACACACACTGGCTGATGCGTCCTGGCTCAGTAATTTAACCTCTTCATCTCCTCATCTCGAAGAAAAGAGGGTTGGTAATAATAACGGGCTGGGCATGGTCGCTCACACCTGCCATCCCAGCACTTGGAGGCAGAGGCAGGGAAATGGCTTCAAGTTCAAGGAAGCCTGGGCTCCACAGCAGTGCCACGACAGCTTCGGCTACAGTGTGAGACCCTGTCTTGAAAGCCAAAGAGCGGAGCTGGGGAAGCAGCGCGATCGGCAGAGGACTTGCCTGGCATGCCCAAGGCACCCTGGTTAATCCCTAGAGCTTCATAAAACTAGATGTGGTGGCACAGACCTGTTATCCCAGCACTCAGGAAGTAGAAGCAGAAGGAGCTAGAGTTCAAGGCTAGTCTTGGCTACATAGAGACTTTGAGGACAGCCTGGGCTACATGTGTAAAAGTTTCAAAAGTAGACAAACAAAACCAAGTGGTCTAAAGCCAAAATGTCTGGGAAGTGCATCTTTCTTTTCTCTGTCCCCTCCCAGAGAGTCCCTGCACACACAGGTTTGTCATCAGGGTAGAAAAAGCCCTGCAGGAAACAGTTCTGTTGGAATGATGATGTCTGCCATCCTAGTCCGCTAGAGTCTGAGGCCAGAGGACCATGAGTTTGGGGGCAGCCTGTGCTACATAGTGGACCTTTTCTCAAAATACAAACAAAACACTGGACATAATGATGCACACCTTTAATTCCAGCACTTGGGAAGCAGAAGTAGATGGAGCTCTGTGAGTTCAAGGCCAGCCTGTTCTAGAGAATAAGTTCCAGGACAGTCAGTTTTCATAGTATAGACCCTGTCTCAAAAAGACAAAAGCAAGATGGAGGTTAATCCCAGCACTCGGGAGGCAGAGGCAGGTGGATCTCTGAGTTCGAATACACAGCTCCCACATGAAAGAAAAGCAAAAAGCAGACATGGCCGTGCATGCCTGTAACCCTAGCATTGAGGGGCAGAAGACAGGCAGCTCATGGGCACTCCCTGGTCGGCAAGCCCAGCCCCAATGGCCGTCTTCAGGGCAGGTGAGAGACCCTGTCTCGCCGCAGTGGAGCAGAGAGTGGTGGAGGAAGAGACTCAGTGTCCTTCTCTTGCTTCTGTATTGCATGCACATGAGGGTGCACAGCTGTACACTCACATGCATGCCCCGTAGCACGCTTAAAACGAATAGACAAACAATCCCGTCGAGATGCAGTTCAGGCACTGGTTCCAGGTCTCACCTGCAGCAATCACCTCCCCACCCCACCCCCCCCAACATCCTCTGTTAACGTCTAGAAGAATCCTATGCAAAGGGTGATTGAAGGGAAACACTGCTCACAGGACTGAAGCTGCTTAGTGTGATACAGACAGAAGACACCTTATCTCCCAACATTCCCTCCCCAAATTAAAAATCCCTTGTCCCTCTCTGGTCCCGTTCCTCTCAGGACCCTTATTTCTGCTCTCTGAAGGACAAATTCCTACTGATCCTTCAAGAAGGGACACTGTGGCACCTCCTTTAAGAGTTCTTTCTCTTCTCTCTCCTCCTCTTTTTCTTTTCTCTCCCTTCTTCCTCTTCCTCCTCCTCCTTCTTCGACAGTCTTCATACTTTATTGCCCTAGCCTGGCCTCAAACTCATAACCTCCTGCCTGGAATACTGGGATTACATGCATGAGCCATCATGTCGGCCTTTCCTGGACTCGTGAGTCCAGTGTTGCTGGTTTGGGGCTGCCAGCACTCACGTATGAATAGGTGTCTGCCCCACTGAAGGCCAGTCCCTCTACAAAGAAGCCCAGTTTATTTGACATTTGACCTCTGAGCACACCCTGAATGGGGCACATGGAAGGTGGTGGGTGAGTGTGGGCTGAACAGTTAATGAAGGGAGAAAATGAAAGCTGAGTCTCAGGGCTGTTGTGGAAGGTCAGTCACACTGCCTTCAAGGAAAGCACCAAAGCAGGATGTTTCAATCTCAGCATCACAGACGTTTTAGACCACATGGTTCTTTTTGTCCAGGGCTGGTCCACATAATGGAGAATGCTTAAGGGCTTCTCTTTATTCCCTTGATTCCAGTAGCAACTCATTCCTCTGGTCATAATGATCAAAAGAGTCCCCAGGGACTGAGGAGATGGCTCAGCAGTTAAGAGCACTTATTGCTATTGTAGAAGACCTGGGCTCAGTTCCCAGCACCCACATGATGGCTCACAATCATCTGAGGCCTTCCTCTGACCTCCGAGGGCACCAGGCATGCACATGGTGTGCATATATACATGCAAGCAAAAACACTTATACATATAAAATTAAAATAAATCTGTTTTCTAAAGTTCCTAGGGTTGGGGATTTAACTCCATAGAGTGCTTATCTTAAATGTGCAAGGCCCTGGGTTTGGTTCCCAGTACCACAAAAATCAGGCGTGGTGCCATCTACTTGGGATCCTAGCATTCAGGAAGTGGAGGCAGGGGGACAGAAGTTCAATGTCATCTTCTGACTACAAGAGACTTAGTCATTTAAAAAAAATGTTGATCAAATGTCTCCTAGGAAGCATAATCTCTCAAGTTGAGACCACTATTCTAGGCAGAGGTTACTCTAGGTTGTCTTTCTCCTTAGAACTTTTAATCCAGAATCCCTCTTGATCTTAAAACTTTATCAGCAATTGAAAAACTTCCTTGGGTACCTGAGGCTGAGGTTTCCTCCCCTGGAGAGAATTAGGATAAGTTCTGGGAAGGTACAGATTGAGTTTCATCTCTGGGGATAAAGAACAAGTGTATAGACTGCAGGATGTGCTGGGGCAGTAAAAAGTTGGTGATGCAGGATCTAGGCATCTATATTAGCTACTGGCTTAGGGCTCTGGGCTTGTGCCTAAGGCAGCCTTGCAGAGAGCTGTTCATCCAGCCCTGCCTCTGAGATACACATTCCCTTTGTGCAATAAAGCCCCCAAAGGATCACCCCCCCCCATCTCTGTGAGAACCTGGAAATATGGGGTCTCCTCTACAGCCACCTTCTCATCCTTACTCTACCCTGCAGTCAGTGCTGAGGGGAGCCAAGCTTGTGCCAAGGGCTGTGAGCTCTGTTCAGAAGTCAACGGCTGCCTCAAGTGCTCGCCCAAGCTGTTCATTCTGCTGGAGAGGAACGACATCCGCCAGGTGGGCGTCTGCCTGCCGTCCTGCCCGCCTGGATACTTTGATGCCCGAAACCCCGACATGAACAAATGCATCAGTGAGTGTCTGGGTGGGGATGGAGAGGCCCTGCTGTGAACTAGTTAGTAATGGCCGGTGGGAAGTGTAGAGGGGGCACAGGAAAGAAGATGAGGCTCTTGTTTCAAATGTACAGGCAGACAGCCTCCTAGATGCTCCACCCACGATCCCACTGGGTACAAACCAGACCTCCACCCTCCTCTCCATAGCTGCACCTACCTCTGTTCCCACAGGTCACTCTGACTGTCTCAACTCATCTGTCAAGCCAGAGACCCGAAAGCTAGTCTCTCACTGTGCTTCCCAACCCACTCACTCATCACGACCCAGCCACTGTTCCCCTCCTTCCCGTTGCCATATCTAGACTCCCAACACCTGTCTCCTACACCATTTCCATAGCCCGTCCATCCAGCCCACCCTCTGCACTGCAGCCACAAAGATGTTTTTGAGGTTTACAACCTGGTGCACGTTCCTGCTGCTAGTCACCTGGTGTCAGCTCTACCCTGGCTTCACGGAATCCCGTCCGGCCACTCTGCTCTTTCATGGCTCCCCTTGGCTTCTGGCTCTGCCTTTTTCACCCCACCCACAGCACCATGTGTTGCAAGACTCATGCTGCCCTGTTTCCATCCCATCCCTGTAACTACAACTGGGACATTCTGGGAGTGGGCACCCAGTGAACCTGTACCTGTGAGCCAGACCAGTGTTTCCTCCCTCAATTCAGTGCCTTGGACTGTAGAACTCATTGCCAGATCTCAGATCACTGAGCCTCACAAAAGCCTTTGGAGGGAGACTGGGCAGGAGGGGCCGTAGGTTCTTAAAGCTGATAATTTAGAGGCATGGAGGCAAGATGCCTGGTGCCAGCGTGGCCTTCTGAATTCTGATCTCAGCTTGGCTACTGGCTTGCTGTATGACCTTGAGTGTATCTCAGCCCCCTGACAGCTCATCCTTAAATTGGGAGTGCTAGTCTTTCCTCCCCGGGTTGTTGGGAAACACACCTATAAACCTGGTGTCTGGCACTCAATAAATGGTAGCTGCTATTGTTATTTTGGTTCTTATTGTACTGGCAACCAAACCCAGGAATCTAAGCATCTGGTGGGAGCAGCGGGAGGCGGGGTAGGGTGGGAGTAAGGGAGGCAAAGTTGAAATTAAGCCACCGAGAGGAACATACAGAAGGAGGTGGGTGGGTAACTCAGTGAGGTGAGGTGGGCCCTGGGAGCTGCCCTCCTGGTCTTCAGGGCATTTGGAAAGAGGGGGTTCCCGGATGTGCCAGAGTCTGGTAGGCTGGCAGCTGGCACTTCTAGTGCCAAAGACTGGGAGGAAGCCAGTACCTCCCAGCCTGGGAAGGGAGATGGTGGAAGGCCCGTCTGTTCCCAGCCAAGCCCTGCTCTGCCCACCTCCCGCAAAGGAGGGAGGGAGCTGGCAGAAGGAGGGAGGGAGGGAGGGACCCGGGAGTCCAACCCAGGGGTTCCTGGAACTTGGTTTTGCACAGGGAGAGGAATTTGCCCTGGGATTGCTCCCACTCTTCTGAGCAGATTCTTTCTGCCCTGGGCAGGAGGAGATCCAATGCTGGGGTGCTGGGGTGCCCAGCAATGTGAGAAGGGGTGCCACACAGGTGCTGCCTGGGCGTTCATCCTCCCATTCGGTCCTACTCTTTTTAGAGGGGCCCTAGGACGCCATGGGATGCTGAAACCGTCCTCTCTGTCTCCACCAAGCCCAAAAGGCCCCTCCTCCCAGAAACCCTTGGGCCTCATCTTGGGTTCCAGGATCTTAGACTTCATTTGGGTTCCAGTTGGCTGTTGTTGGCAAGAGTCCCAGTCACTATTCAAGAGAGACTACTTCAGTGTCCTCTAAGTCCCCTCCCCCTTTGAAAGATTCCTCTGGCTGGGCGGTGGTGGTGCATGCCTTTAATCCCAGGACTTGGGGAGGCAGAGCCAGGCGGATCTCTGTGAGTTCGAGGCCAGCCTGGGCTACCAAGTGAGTTCCAGGACAGGCAATAAAACTACACAAAGAAACCCTGTCTCGAAAAGCAAAAAACAAACAAACAAAAAGATTCCTCGGCAGGAATCCCAACTCTAGCCAAAGATCTTGACCTCTGTGAGTGGCTGTGAGCAGTAGGCGGCTTTGGGGCCGGGGATCAGAGAATGGGCCCATCCTGGCCTGGGCAAACTGCATTCTGCTCCTGTCCTCAGAATGCAAGATTGAGCACTGCGAGGCCTGCTTCAGCCACAACTTCTGCACCAGGTGTCAGCAGGGCCTGTACTTGCACAAGGGCCGCTGCTACCCAGCCTGTCCCGAGGGCTCCACCGCGGCCAACAGCACCATGGAGTGCAGCAGTCCTGGTAAGGAGTGGGTGCCAGAGGACCCAGAGCCCAGAGCGGGGAGAGCGTGATGGAACTCAAAGAGTTGATGGCCGCCGGGCCGTGTGGGGCACGCCTTTAATCCCAGCACTCAGGAGGCAGAGGCAGGGGGATCTCTGTGAGTTCGAGGCCAGCCTGGTCTACAGGGCGAGATCCAGGACAGGAACCAAAGCTACACAGAGAAACCCTGTCTCAAAAAAACAAAAACAAAAACAAAAAAAAGAAAAGAAAAGAAAAAAAGAGGTTGATGGCCACAGAGTGAAAGCGTAGGGCAAGAGAAAGCTCACTTTTTGCAACTACATTTTGGGGTTCTTTCTTTGTGGCCTTCTGTCCCTGGTCTGTAGAACTCACACCTGAGGTCTGGACTGAGATTGGGTGGGTAGGTGGGTGGGTGGGTGAGGGTTCCCTGGGTCACTCGGGGGTGGGGGTGGGGTGGGGAGGGCTTTGCCTCTTCCTTCCCTCCCTCCTACCTCACCTCCTGTCAGCACAATGTGAAATGAGTGAGTGGTCCCCGTGGGGGCCCTGCTCCAAGAAGAGGAAGCTGTGCGGTTTCCGGAAGGGATCGGAAGAGCGGACGCGCAGGGTGCTCCACGCTCCTGGAGGAGACCACGCCACCTGCACCGACACCAAAGAGACCCGGAAGTGTACAGTGCGCAGGACGCCATGTCCCGAGGGTGAGCTGCAGCCTCTGCCTATGGGGTCAGCTATAGCTACATCCTGCCATGCTGTGCAAACTGGGGGCATATCCAGGCTGAGGACAGTGCCCTGAGATGCTCTGGGGCAGAAATCAGAAACTTCTGTGGGGCAGGATCCCTGTCCCATTTCTTCTGGACGTTCATTTTAGAAAGGCCCTGGGAAAACAGAGCGGGTTGGGGTGGGCTAAGCCCCAGAGACTTGGACCCATTCAGACGAGGCCACAGAGCCTGAAGGTGGCAACAAGGTAGATCTGCCCACCCTGCCTGGTCTCGGGGGTAGCCTTGTGGGGTGGCAGGGAGTAGGGACTGTTGCGCTTGTTCTGATACCTTCACTGAACAGCCAGGACATGCTCTGGGGTCTTTGGGGTCCAAGGACTGAGTCAAAGGAGGGTGCCTGGTGTGCGCTGTGGAGTGGGGTGGAGACAGGTCTCTAGGGGCTGTTTCTTGTACTCATGCTATAAGGTCCCCTGAAGAGGCTGCAGCCAGAAGAGGCTCTGAGGCAACCTCCTATTGCCTTCCCACCCAGCTTCCTTGCCATGACCTTCCGAGGCCCCTTGGGCACCTTTGTTGATTTTCTCCACTATCCGATTGTTGCAGGGCAGAAGAGGAGGAAGGGGGGTCCAGGCCGGAGGGAGAACGCCAATAGGCATACGGCCAGGAAGAACAGCAAGGAGCCAGGTGCCAGCTCTCGGAGACACAAGGAGCAGCGGCAGCCACAGCCAGGGACAGCAGGACCACTCACGTCAGCAGGACCCACCTAGGCACGGGGACCAGTCTCCAGATCTGCGTGGAAGAGTCTTGTGCTGTACTGCATAATGAGAACTTTCCAGAACTGGAGCGTCTGGGACAGCAAGTCCACACATTGACCACTCACCCACCCATCCGCCTATCCATCCATCCATGCATATCCAGGCATACATATGGCCACATCAGAAAACATCAACACACACACACACACACACACACACACACACACACACACACACAC